GAAGGGAATACAGAAACGAATCTCGCTCTTCCTTCTACCTGTGTTACATGCCTTTCCCTGTAACTTCAGGAGACTCAGGGTTTACTTCCCATGCTGTAATTACACCATTAGTGCCTCCCAGTGGAGATGCAGCATATGTTGAGAGAAGACTTTTTAAACTGGCTGAGCACTACCAGCTCCTTGACATAACCTAAGCTGGACAAAAGGGCTCTCCTGCCAGGACAGCTGTGCCTACACCAGCACCGAGTGTTTAGGGGTTTGTTTTTGTTTTTTGTTTTGTTTTTGAAATGTTTTGCTGCCAGATCAGCTCTGTCAGCTCTGGGTGTGACCTTTTTCATACTCAGAGAGGACTCAGCTATGCTAGGAAAAACAGTAGTGGAAATCTGGCCCCGAGGTTGGAGACAGAGCCCCCATTCACTGATATGCCCTGCCCCTGTGCTGTTACTGATATTGTACAAAGCAGGCATAAGGTCACTAGAGCAATCACCTTTTTCACTCACTCGGCACGGGTGCGAATGATTACACAGGGTACGAGGCAAAGCTCATGTGAAATAACTTATCCCTAAGCTGCTCGCTTTGCCCACATGGCCTTTGTTTCTGCAATTACAAAGGCTCCCCCCTTGTTGGGGATAAAGGAGGGAGAAGACAAGCAGGTTTCACAGCTGATGAGAAAACTCTCTTTTTACTTCAGCTAAAACAAGAAAAAAAGATCTAAATGAGACAACAACACAAACTGTGTCCATCTCTCCATCTCGGGTCCCCAGAACTTTCAGACACCCTCTGGGGTTTAGCTCAGACTTCTCCTCCTCTCCCTCCAGCTCTTCCCCCAAACCACAAAGTTTCCTGCCTGGCCAAGCTTCCTCTGCCTTTGGCCCTACTTCTCTTGATCGTTCAGACACAGTGCTAATATCCAAATCTCTGTTCTGCTACAGGGAAAACTCCCTTCATTCAAATGGAGCCCTCTCTAAAGAGAGGCTGGAGAAACCTGGCCTGACAGAGGATGCAGTTGTATTCCTCTGCTGTGCAGACAGAAACTCCCCCCAAACGTCCCAGAGCCGATTTAAACTTAAGTAGCTATACCAATATAATTCATTCTGTTGACCTTTTTATTTAGGGATAAACACATCCTTTCCAAATTCATTTAAGTCATTTGGGAAGGGTTTCGGGCTAAACCGAAATAGGCAGCTCTGAGATCTTCTTACCAACAAGTAAGAGTGTGCATGCGTATGAATCCCAAAGAGTAAAAAATGGGAGCTATATCCTCCACAACCACTTTGATACAGTAACACTATTAAAAGTGGTTACGTAGTCTTGTACAGGCCAGAAAGCAACTAGCAGATTTCCATTTTCAGTACGTTCATTGCTGGATTTGGTTAATATTCATATTGGTAAACAAAAATGTGTACTTTTCTAAAGAAAACTGTAACCGATTTACACACAAATATCTGATAACCATCTAAACATGTTTCCATAGCACCTAGGAAATGCTATAAAAATATCAATTTGTTCAGGTTACAAATATTGCATCAATCACAAACATTACCTAAGCCTCCATGGCGTCTGTGGGTAAGAAAAATAACCATGGGTGCTTAAAAAGCACTGCCAAAATGTATGCTTTCTTCTTACTACTGCTGCCAGAAAACATCTGCACTATTAAAGGATTAAAGGATTAGGAAAGAAGAAAAAAAATACACTGACCTCCCAATGCTGTGTAGTCTTAGGAATTTATCTGAGACACTTAAAATTTTTGCTTGTCCCTCACTTATAAGCTAGCCAGGATTTATAGATTTTATTAACATGGACAGGAAAAGTATTTCAGATCTGCCACTAAAGACTAAATTCAAAACCAAGTTCCATCTAGAAATATGTTCTCATAGTCACAGGTTCATAGCTGCATGCAGAAAATATGTTTGATACTTTTTAACTTTGAAGGTCTTTTTTAAGCCCCAAGAAAATCCACCGCTGGACAGCGGACTGCCCAAATTGGCATTCACAAATAGCTGAATCCATAGGTACCTCCAGCTCTCTTGATACCTGCAACTTCCTTAAAAGATAAATTATGGAGCAACCTTGGTAATCCCCAGGTGGCTTTTCATGCAGCTCTAAAGGAAAACGTATTAAAAACTTGCTCTCCCACAAAAGGAAAATGGGGCATTTAGCTTCAGCTATACAACCTATATTGGAAATCCTGCACATCAATGGGCTGCCTCTGGGCAAAGCCACAGGGGTTACTGTGCTCCCTTCTTTTTCCTTGCACAGGGCAGGATCTGGGGAAAAGAAAAGAAACTCCAGAGCACTGAAGCAGCGGACTCAGATGCACAGGGCTGCCTGTTCCTTCTCTGCAACTAATGCTGAGGAAGCAAAAGTAACACACAGCTTGACGCTTCTCGGCTTGCGTGAGCAAAAATCAACTTCTGTGAAATTCATTCCCCCCGACCGGGCTGAAGAGAGACTCTTTGGTAGCCAGCGCAAGACGCTATGTGGCTGTTGTTGGGATGCTCTTCTGTACCAGCTGGGGGGAGGAAGAAATGCAACTTGGGGCTGGTAGACCCTGGATTAAGCCCACAGATGTTTGTTTCTGTAGCTCCTTTGCCACATTCAGCAACTGTCTACTCGAGCTATGCCTAATGCCATCCCCAAAAGGAAGTTACTGAAGTGTATATTCTGACTTCATGAGCTAGCAACCTGGACAGGACTTTCACAAGACTTACCCCCAAATTTTATGGAACTTGGACACCTAACTCCCTTGTAGTAGTCTTCCAAAGGAAAAACTGACAAAATATGCATTTTATAACAACAGCTTGAAAAGCTCGATCTAGTCCTGAATCAAAGTGTTTGTCATTCTAGGCCAAAATCAAATTCGGACTACAGAGTGATGCTTAGTTTTCCAATAAACAGAGAATCTGTAATTCAGAGTTGGCTTTCTTTTAATATCTGTGCCTAGAATACAAGCTCTAGGAAGCTGTCCTCTCAAACTCATATTTTCCAGTGGAATCACAGATTTTACAGGGCAACTTTCATAGGAGACCAGATGAATCCTGAATATAGCAACATTTCCACAGATCGGCCCACAGTTCTGGTCCCTTTCTATTCCTGCCAAAAAATGGGAAGGAAAGAAGAAGGGGAAAGAATCACTTCAAATACAGGAGGGAGAGCAAAGAGAAAGGAAGACTCCTGGGAAATGAAGCAATAACAAGAAAATATTGCTGCAGCTCTGATCTGTACTTCAATTCTGCACATGAATTTAAAGAGCTAAAAAGACAAACAAACCATTGCTATAGCGTATGTCACAGCTGTGTACAGTCCTGAGTAGTTATGGCAATAAATCCCCATCTCCTAAACATTACAGGTAATCACTGGAACGATTCAGAGTAATAAGTCATATCAGAATAATAAGTCTATATCAGAATTCACTGCACTGAAAAAGCAAGCAATTCAGCATAATTATGGAAGACTCAGTTTGGCATTCCTAACATTTCCAAGATGCAAACTACCAGCAAAATAATACTGCTAAAAATATACTTTTTAAAGCAAGCATCAAACAAACCACTTTCATAAAAGAAAAAAAAGCATTAAAGCCTAGTTAAAAAATAAATCCTCCTCTGGTGACTTCAGAATGTCACACGGGAAGTACAGACAAGGATTTCAGCATAGGGAGAGCTGAGGCAGCTGTGTGAGCTTTACACATAGGCAGCAACAAAGAAGATTTGCAATCAGTTGAAACACAGTCAGAAATAATGCCTGGCACTTAGCAAGCACTTAAAATCACCTAATTGCACACACATTGGCCTCCTTAACAAGCTGTCACATGCTGGAAGGAAAAAAAACATAGTACCAGTGTTGTGGAGATCAGGACCCATGTGAGCTCTGATGAGCTATACTTACTAGCATCACTTCAATATCAAATATCCATTAACCTATTCATTATACCCAAAGAATACATTGGGACACTCTATATGAAAGGTACAGTTGCCATGCAGATTCATTTAAACCTCAGTACAAAGGAACTAGATGAAACAGAGGGACCTGAGGGGACAACATGCTATCTGAACACTACAGTACTTTGCAAGCAATATGACATATTACCTGCTGTTACTATAAAGCTATGATCTGGCCTGCTGGAAACCAAAAGTTACATGCTTACTCAGTCTTTAATAAAATTCCATTTATACTTTCCTCCGATGCACTTAGGAGATCCAGGAGAAAATAATCTCAGATATGATTTATTGAAATTAAAAAAAAAAAAAACTCTATCACTAAGCATCTCTCTATAACTGGTGATCAAACTGTGTAAGTACATAAAATCTACCAGAGACATATCTCAGCTCCTCAGCTCCACTGGAACACTTTAATATTACCTAATGTGAGTTCTGAAAAGCTGTAGCAATGTTGTCATGACAATGACAACACAACACAGTTGTTTTCCGCTATCACTGTGCAACTGGCTCCACATTAGGTCGTTTATGCTGCCATAAAACTATAGTATTTAACCACAATTCTTTTCTCTCTTATTTGAGCAAGTTCTTTCCTCCAGAACATGGTCAAAGAGGGTCTGGCACACTCTTCAGATATATGTTTCAGAGGCACAAATCAAAAGCACTGGGGAAGAAAGCACACTTTATGTTTAGAAATTTTGCAGCCACACACAAAAAAAGAGCACCCTAATTTATCATACAGACTAATGGCCACTTAGCCACTGACAGAATAGATAGCATGCAGACTGCAAGACCCAGTCTTGTAAACCCATACTCTTAAGATCTGGACCCACTGACTTGAATTAAATCACTTGCATAAAATCTGCTTGCAGTAAGAAGGCTTCCTAGAATCAGGCATTGACTTTTCTAGCCATCAGATACTAAAAAAGGACTAATATCATCTATTGCAACTACATCTAGCTTCTGTCATCAAACCTAGGGTGTTAGTAAATAGTTACTGCTATCACATACAGTGTTAGAGGTGGTTAGGACACTGAGAGACTAATTGTACATAATGGGCTCTACCTGAGCTCAGCTGGGACTGGTTCAGAGTCTTTGTAACATATGCAGAACCTGGCTTTACACTATCCATCTCCAAATCTGCACGTGATTAAGGTCAGGTGGGAGGAGGGCAGAGGAACAGACAGAAGGTAAGAGAAAGGACAAACAAATTAAAATATCTGCTGAAACAGACTGCAGGAGACTAACAAATAATTCGTAGAGACAGTAATTAGAGAAACAGCACTACAGGAATCTAGATTTCAGTGTTACGGGTTCTAGGATGTTGCTTCTCCGGCACATTCTAGACCTCATGTATTCTTAACTAGTAATGTTTATGTGCAAAAAGAAGTCTAACTGAAGTGCATGGAGATATGCCAAGTTCACAGGATGAAAAGCAAAACAGACGAGGTAACATGAAATAAGCTGAGTAAATACCTTGAACCCCGAGAAAACTTGAGCAGCTGAGGATGAAAGGGGATGCTACTGGTACCGGAACAAGTGGCTTAAAGCAGACTCAAGCGTGCCTGCAGCCCATGAAGTCTAATTCTCAATTCCAAGTGTGCAAGCACACTTACATATTGTGTATACACATCAGTGTAAACAGAATTGTCGGTGTAAACAGTTTTTTAAAATTATACAAAATAGGTCCCAATTTACTTTGGAAAACGCTAGTAGAAGAATCAGCGATGTTTAAACAGAGCTGTAACTTGCATCAGCATGGTCTCTGGTATCATTGGGAGACTCAAGATTTAGAGCTCATTTTCAGAGAAACTCTGTCCCAGTTTCAACAACATATTTCAGCTCTAGCCTCCCTATCTAGGTCTCAGCTTCCTGTTGTTTTAGCTGGGGAACTCGGGAGCCTAAAAAGAACTTCAGCGTTTACAAACTGCTTCATGAGCACAGAGACTAACATCCCCCTAACCCTAGCCGACTCTGAAAAGGACCTAAAAGCTTCCATGCTTTCAAAATACTTAAAGTATCTTCCTGAATTATTAGAAACAGAAGATACGCAACCCTGATCTTTGATGTCCAGAAATATTACAAACAAGAACCACCAGTGCAGACCACAGAGGAATGCCCAGGCATGGGAGGGAAGCGGCACGTGATCTCTCTAGTGATGTTCTGTGGGGAGCGATAGCCAAGTTTCTAATCTCTGTTGCAATTACATGACTCACAAAGGGACATGGCTGCCAAAGGAAATTAATTTCATATGAAAAACAAGCAAAACCACTAATAAGCCTTATACCTTTGAGCAGCAGTATTGTAGCCGCTCTAGTGTTGAACTCTTCCCTCTACACAGTCAGCTTGGAAAGGAGCGAGATTCTGAAAGCTCACCTTTCAGGCTAGGTTAAGTAACCGGGGAGAACGTAGCGTAGCCATTCTTTGTTTTCACGTTAGAAAGGGCAAAAAACTCAGCCCTGCCCTTACTATCTCAAGTTAACTGCTGCCGAACCTTAGCTGAAATGGCGTCTTGGAAGGACTCATAGGTTCAAGGAGCTTGACTAGACAAGAGGAAGAGACTAAGATGGATGTTTTCTCCCTAACTATATGTCCAAAGGAAACTCCTGAGATCTTACCAGCATTCACTATTCTGACTGCCCCCAAACTTTCCAGCATGTTATATACCATTGGATACAGTCAGTCACAGCAATTAATTTGGCCCTCACTCTTATAAACTCTACCTCAGTTTAAATATCCCCTGGCTCTTCTTGGGGGTGGTCTGGATATATGCAGTAGAAGCACCTCCACCACACACGCACGCACAGCGTGATCGCGTTGGAAACAAACCCCGTTCTCCTCAGCTATGCCTTCCTCTTAGAAGTCTCCACCTTTCTGGCTTGGGAGCATTTGCTAATTCTGGCACGTGCTCAGCACGGTGGTCAGTAAGTTACGTCTTCACACTGCTCTGCTGGGGAATGACACTGCTCTGCCGGAGTAAGTACCATGAACAGGAACCACATGCCCGTTTCCCACGCTACAAGTGTATCAGAGCACAGTCTCTATGCCAACAGGTGGGAAGTGTTGGTGATGGGGGGGGGGGATATACATACATATGCCTGTATCTATGATATTTGAACATCCTTTTTTAAGGCCGATTTATGAAATCCAAACAGCATCCCAGGGCAGAGTCTCCAATTCTACTGACAATAGGTTATTGTTAGGAGGTTTAGATCAGCACCAGCAGGACCTAAACAAGATCATGGCAGGATGCAGCAGGACTCTGTAAGCAAGCCGCTCCCACATAACTTCACAGTTTCATTTTGGGAGTTGTGAAATGCTAAACACGAATACCATCTTCTGATTTTTAAAAAGGAATCTTTGCTTCTGAAGATTCTCGAGTAATAACAGATTGCCAGTCCCCTATTTAACTCCTTTCCATCAGCAAATTTTTAACTTCTCTTTCCTTCAAACTGACATTCTCATTTGGTTTGCTCAGCACTTAAAAGGGCAATTTCTTTTTATTATGGTTTTATTGATACAAAATGATACAAAAATTACATCATATCAGTTCTAGCAGAAAAGAGTTAGAATTGCTGTTTTTTTTTAACTCCCTGCTATTTTTGTTTTATGTCCAAAGAGCTTTAAAAAGGCACATGTTTGACTAAAGCTTTGCTTTGGCTTCCCTGAACATGCTTCAAAGCATCAGTGCTACTGAGCTGCATGTACAGAATTAAAAGAAAAAGAAAAAGAAAAAGAGAGAGAGAGACAGAGACAAAGAGAAAGAGGAAAAAAGGAATAAATGAAAACATACAAGGGGGGAAGTAGCTCCAGGATGCTGGACGGGCTCCATGGGCAGGGGAGACTGGGAAGGTATAATTAAAAAAAGAAAAAACAAACAAAAAAGTTGGTTACAACATGCATCCATTCAAAATGGGTTAAACTCATATAAAGCTCGGCTATATACAGCGCAGCATACAACCACAGACCCAATCCTTCAAGTTGTTTGGTGCTTCATTCCCTAAAACTTTCGGGAATTCATTAGGATCCTGGAATTCCCCACCCAATACGCGTCCTTGTTCTGAAAAAAACATTTAGCATGTTTCAACTTTCAGCACAAGGCTCATCCCGGCTGAACACCACAGTGGAACATATGATTTGTTTGCACTGCTCTCAATGTCTGCTAAGCATGTGTTTATGGTTAAGCCTATGTTTAAGTACTTCGTTGAGTCAGAAACAGGACTGGAAGATTTCTTTATATGCACGGACAATGCCAACCACTTAAAAAAAGAAAACAATTCCCAAATTTGTAAATTTAGATTTTGCGTAATTGGGTTCATTGTAAATGGAGCTTTGCTCCATTTCTAATGGTGCTAAAGCAGGCAGTTGCTTTATCTTACTTTCCATTCTGTGTAAGAAGGAAAGCAAAATTGTCAAAGATCCACATTTTCCTCTTGACAACAGGGTTTCTCCATTAACTCATTACAGAGAAGGCAGAGACTTTGCCCTTGATGCCTTAGCCCCAACTGTTGGCCTTTTTTTTCTTAAAAAGAAATTAAATTAAAGAAAATTTAAAGTCAGTAGGAATCCAGAAATAACTTCTCCACAGACCAGATCAGTTCAAATCTAGGGTTTAAGCAAGCACTGCTGAAGTCTTCTTTTAAGCACACAGACCACCAGATTGACTCATGATAGCCTTTCAGAACAGTGGAGATGCGTGCAAGTCACCTAAATAAAACGTTTTCACGCTCACGCTGCTGACCTTTCGGCCTGAAATCTTTGTCCACTCACATCTCCATCTGAGCTCCGTGGGAGCGGAGAGAACATGATTTCTTGAAGGATTGGTCCTTAGGTCTGTCAATATTGAGAGCACATCTTCAGTCTGCCCTATCAAGAACGAGATCTGGCAGCTCGGAGCGCGTTAGTATGTTTACTCCCTGTCTGCTTCCACACTGAAACGATATACCTGTCTTGGCACAATAAAATTTTCATTTAATTTAGATTTCATGAGACAGTTGTGTGTTAAACACCCAACAACTGCTTTGTTTATGTGAGATTAGCAAGAATGACACTTATTACTTACATGTTATCTTTCCATATTTTGCTTATAAAAACACTAACTAAGACTCTGTGCACCCAGCAGTGTTAAATGGCTGTTCGACCAGGGCTTCTGCAGAACGTAAATTCTATTTGCACCTTATTCTTCCTGATTTTTAAATAAAATATCAATTTTTTGTCAAGGGATTAGGAGCTAGCCTGTTTCAAAGCAGGCACTGCCTCTCAAGAGTCTGCCATGATTGCAACAGCTCTTAAACAATGAATGTAACTCAATTTGCATTTTTGCAGTTAAAATTAATTCATTCAGGACTGTACCAGAGTCTTCAGGAAGTCAGAAGAGATAGCCACACAGGTCCCCTAGTGGTCTGTTGCCTAATCCAGGCCTAAATTTCAAATCTCCTGAAGTCAGTGGATTATTTGCATTCAGAGTGTTGACCAAGATTAAACCGTTATTTACATTTAAAAAAATTCTTCAATGACAACAGCTTGCAATACTAACAAGCATCTTTTAAAAGTTCATTAATTTCGTACAATACAAGTACATTTACCTGATAAATCTAAATTAAATGAATGGATGAGACAGGAATTTGAAAAAACCTCCATAAAGTTGGGCAGAGCTGCTGGGTTATTCAATCTTTTGTCCTAAGCAAGACTGAGGAATTGGTGAAAATGACCCCTGATTCTTTAAAATGTTCACAGTTTTGAAAAAAACAAACATTACCTTCTTACTCCCCATTTCTTCACTAAAGCTCAAGCTCTCACACTGCAAACTGCAACTTTATTCTTTGCTTCCCCGTTGTGACCAAATGCCCCCCCAAAAGCAGCAGTGTTCAGAAGCCTTCACATTAGTTGTCAGGCTGAGGCACGCTGGAGTAAAGGTTTGGTGAGCACACGTAGGCGGGGGGAGATGCACAGCAACACACTGCTTGTTAGCAGAAGACATGAAACAAATTGCACACGTGAGCTGAAACATGATATGAGATTTGAAATACAGTTAAACTACCACAGCAAATAACCAGAAGTATGAGAAAGAATGGAACGAAACAGACACCCGAGATACGCTGCCTGTGACCGTTAGCTAGGCAAAACTGGTGAGGAGGGACAACACGAACACACACACACACACACAGCTCCTGGAAAAGACCAACCAGAGATGGACACAACTGAACAAGAAGAGAAAACACAGCCACAATCTACAGGCTCTTCCCAAATGCTTGCTTAGAAGGAACAAACAAAAGAGCTATTCTTTATTTCTTCTAAGCAGCACAATGAATATTTAAAAGATTCACTTCTCACTAAGACGACTATCTGAAATTCAAATGCAATCGTTCATCCCATATCTCTTCAAAAACCTTTTTCTAGAAGACCTGACTCTATCTGTAGTAACGCTGAAATTCAGCTAAGTTGTCAGTGAATGGCATTAGCTATAAAATATCGGATACTAATTCAATATAATAATTTAGATCAAGAAGTAAACATTAGAATACTCTATCTGAGTAAGAATTCAGGAAGAATTAAGAAAGGAGAAAACCACAAGCACTCAAACAAACTGGGATTTGTTGAGCCCACGCTACCCTCCTTGATCTGTACAGTGTTTTTAAGCAAATAGAAACAGTCAGGAGGTCAGTTTGCATCTCGCCTGAAAAAAAGGATTTTCTAACAGCGTTGAACATGAGAAAATTCGGGGCAGCAGCGTAGTAGGAAAATGAAGGGAAAGTACTACCCGACAAGTAACTTCCAGGAAATCCTAAGGACCTTGTCTCTCTCTCCCTCGTGTGCCTTTTTCATGTGTACAAATGGAGTCCACAAGTACTGAGGTAGCTTGTTCACAGAATAAATTCTGAAATGTACTTGAAATTAAGTTCAGCGCCTCTAAATCTAGCATTTGTGAATGACATCCAAGTTTGAAAAAGGAAAACTCTAAACAACTTCATTAAGCAATAATGGAACCTACTTTAATTACCAGATCATAGCGTGTGCATACGTGCACTCACGTGCCCACACGAAGATGCGCACATAAACATCTGCAAGTATACCTACTTCATATTGAAAGTGAGTTACCAGTCTCCATTACTATGTCGCTAACATCAGAAGCAGTATTTTAGGAGATGATAGTTTTATCAACCCAAACTTCACCGTCAAATATATTTCAGAGACGATTCCAGGCAAAGAAAACTTCTTTCTTACTACTTTGAACTTTCAGAATTGAATAAAATGGACACAGTTTTCCTGCAAGGTCAGTGTTCCTTCTATTTGCCTCAGACACTGGCTGCATTATCAGTGGTGTGAGCATGCACTTTCACAGTCAAAGAAAAACATTGTTTGTAAAAGCAGAGTTTGCATTTAAAGCCACCTCTCCTCCCTGACTGCCTGCATTTCATTTACGTTTGAACTTCAGTCATTATTTGTACTGCATTTAAAACCAATACAATATTTTATGGTTCTATTAAAATGTTATCCCCATCACTTCTGCAAATCAAAACCTCTAATTAGAAATAATAATAAAAATGCAGGGCAGGAAGTTCTCTGCTTTCCATCTGCTTTTCATTAGATTACTCAGTCCAGCCAAATCAATGGACAATTAAACAACACAAGCAGTTCTACGTCTGTAAATTCCTTCATGGCAAAGGGCTTTATGCTGCAAAATGTCCTAGATGCTCTACAAACGATGTTTTGATTAAAGAGAAAAAGGTTGCACGTTGATAAATATGCCTTATCAAGCCCCAATCTAAAACTCCACATTCATTCTGGATCAAATACCCTGCTAATGTCCAGCAAGGAAAAAAGCTCCAAGTGGTTCCTTTCAGAAAAGCCTCTTTCTATTCCTTGCAAAAAGCCAATCTAACATTTAAAATTTAGGTAAAGGGGGGAACTTATGTTATGGGGATTTTAAAGTGTATGGGAAACATCTTAGAAGCTTGAGCCGTGGGTGAGAATGCACAGAATCCAGGTAAGGAAAACGCACGCTCTTCTGCATTAGCCCACCAATGTCATTCTTAGCCAGGCTCTGGAGGAACCACTTGGAAGGATCCAATTTCACATTTCAGGGCAGCGCTACTTTACTTAAGCCACTCACTGTGCTCCAGCAGCTCATTTCTGCCCCTGTGCCACGTTCTCGTATAGTGCTGGCAACGCAAGCCAGCTTGTGCAGCTGAGTGGAAACCCCAATCAGGAAACGGAGACTTCTTCCCTTATCTTCTCACTCCTTCTGTATTTTGCACATTCTTTTTTTCCTCCAGACAGATGAGTTCCTTGAGTTCTACAGCATAACACCCACCATGCCTTAACCTCCCCACCAAGTCCTTCCTACTTCTTCCATGTCACGACTTTTGTAGCTGAGGAAGAGTCTTACAGACATCTGCCTCCCCTATACAAGTGCTGCCACATCCCAAGGTGGAAAAAACAGAAAGCATAATGCTACAGTGAAACGGTATAATAAATTCTGAGTGCAAAAGAAGGGCAGGGAAGGATTATAGAAACAGCTGCAACATTAGTTCTAGCAATACTGGAATCTGAAACCTTATCAGGGTTCTTCTGGAGCAGTTTTTTGGCTTTAACTGTACGCATGGAACAACTATCAGGGAAGGTCAACAGTCAGGGCCTCATGACATGGCAATATTTTTCAATATATTACTTTTAATATGACTTGGGCTTTTTATATCTACTTTATAAGAAACGTGTCCTAGGACCGAAAGAGGAAATCCACCCTCTAGAGTGTTATTAAAGTCAAACAGAATCTGTTAATCTATGCTGCTTCATTCTCTCTCATTAGAGCATAGCAAGAAAATTACTCACTATCAATGCATGACATTTAATTGCCTGAGCCATATTTAACAATAAGCACTTGCTTATGATTGTCTCTGTCAGCCTAGCCTGTATTCAGGTTTAAAGCTGCCCTTGTCTACATGCTTTAGCTGATAGACTACAGGGTAGTGACCTATCACAGCATTTAGAGATCAACTTCAAACAACAAGAGGCAGATACTGGATTTATGGAATGACCACCTGCTGCAGTGTCTTGAATTGTCAGCGATTTGTGTGACAGTGATTCTAACAAATACATTTGAATGTTCCCAGGAATAACAAAGACTGAAGATAGCAATGGCTGAGAAAAGTATTCTCCTTAATTGTCAGCTCTGTGAAGCATGCAGATTATTGTACTACACTGAGAGCTTTGAGTGTCCATGACTTTTTACTACTGAGCCAAAAGCTCCGAGTCCTAACATAATATCTGATGAAATGCACTTCCCTTGGCAAAATAGCAAGCTTTGGAATTGCATCTTTTTTTCCTTGACATATCAAATCACCACTCTCTTAAGATAAGGAACAGCATTAAAACAGAGAAAGTAGATGAACACCAGTTCATCAGTTAACCAACTATCAGCTCAACTTGCCTGCTGCATAACATTTTAAGAAAGATCAGCAATTTCAAAATGCTTCTTTTGATATACAAACTACAGTTAGGGTAATATCATATATATATATTTATATCTATATATGTGCGTGTGTGTGTATGCGCGCGCACACACACACACACACACACACACTCAAGACACCAAGACTGAGGATGCTGCACAGAATCGTTAGTTATGGATTGCTGAAGGAACCTCAAAATTCTTACCAGCCTAAAATCTTTCAAAGCATGCAGGAGATGAACAGTGATACTAGCTTATGTAACACTGCAGATAAAAGACATCCAATAATGGCAACCATTCAGAGACAGGTAACGTGTGGATGATCAGCACATATAGAGGATAACATGATATGTATAAAGGATGATCAACACATACAGAGGATAATATGACATATATAAAGCAGATATTAAACATGGAACACTGAAAAGACGACTCCCGTTTTATTTCACTGCCCCTTAAAACTAAATATACATACCTGGTTTTGGCACAGAATTGGTCACAGACTGAGGAACTTTGTCATTAATTAGTTCAACACATTCACTAGGAAAAAATCCAACCTGCAATAAAAAGAGAGGCAGAATACTGAATGCCGGGTTTTTACATCAGAATTGTTAAGTTTGGGTAAAATTATAGCCTTTATGAAGCTACATGTAACCTTTTCCTCTAACCGTGCTCGCCTGATACCCCACAACATTATCCAACCTAGAATGACCCAGCATAAGAATAATAATTTTTCAAAATGATGCAGGCAAAAAAAATCGACATACCAAATTATTAGTTCTGTAAAATACTATGTTATAAACCTGTTTTCTAAGCTTGATACACAGGACAGAGATATCAACTTGCAACTGTGTGTATGGAGAGGGGAGAGAACAAGTGTGCCAGACACCCTTAAATCGCATGTGAAACTGAAGAGACAGAAAGACTTAAGCTTGGTTTCCTGCACCTGGCTGCATGTATATAACATGACATTTAATGAAGACAGCAAGACTTCTTAGCTCTTAACATCTCAATTATTCGTACTCAAATTTCACCAACACTGTGGGCTTTTTTTTTTTTTTTTTACTGTCAAAATAACTCACAATTCAAAAAAAATTAACAAGCGCTTTAACATTTTATTCCTTTAAAAAAAGTGAAATTAAATGTGGGTCGACATATGTGCATGTTTGTATAGTCCCATTACAGAAAAAAGTGTATTCTCCTACGATACGCAGAGGAGATGCTTTGAATGAGTGAAGCTCTGTACCGTGTACTAGCCTTACTGTGCGCCTGAGCTGACGAACATGGGTCATCAGTGATACTCCTGAAGCGTTCAAATTAAGCATGCGTAAAGATCTTGCTAAAAAAGTCCAATGTGGTTTTGGTTAAAGTGAATTCAACTCAGTCTTAGAAGTAGGCTTAATAAAATGAGACCTTTATTTTTAACTAAAGGACCCAGTAATTTGACTAGAAATAAACACAGGTATTTTTAGAAGAAAGAGCATGATGTAGTGAAAAAACCTCTAATGAGAGCCAGGACTCCTAGTGTGTGTGCTCGCCTATCTGCTTCTCAACATGGACAAGCCAGAGCAACCATTGCAACTCACCTTCCCTATCAGCAAAGGAAAGGGAGGAGAGCACCACTTCCCCGTTACTGACAAAATAATTTGCAAGAACAGCTGACAAACATACAGCACAAGCTGTTGAACTGTCATGTTACGATTTATCTTTGTACCTGCTAATCACGCCAAAACAGTAAGAATGTTCCAGAAACAAATCCCAGAGGCAAGAATCTCCTTAGCCAATATTTACAGATGCTTCAAAAGCAATGACCCTCGCTGGGCCACCACATAGCAGTGCTATGCAAAAAGTTTTGACAACCACAGAACGCCACTTCTCTGCTGTCAGCATCACCCACAGTGAAGACATCTGCGAGTGCCCAACCTACAGCAAAGTCCCGCGAGTGATTAGTTCCAAATGCCAATTTGCAGCATTCCCGGACTGCATTAACATTGCATTTTTTCCTGCATCCCCTCTAGGTTAGGAACGCTGGAGAGCATCAGCGTAATGGTTAAAGACTAGATCACGTGGCAGATCTTAATTTGCTCTGTAGATAGGACACACCTGCAGAAATTCACATGCCACTCTAAAGTCCCCACATCTGGGGAGAAGTGAAATTATCCCCCTTTCACTACTTAAGGACTCAGACTAAGATCTGACCAATACCTCATTCTTGTGCTGAGTCCCTGCACAGAAAGGTGTTTTAAACTTCCCGGCATCCCAGTCTTCTCTCCGATAACGAGCTCCACTGCACAGCGTCCTCCTCCTTACGCTTGTCCCATGTGAAAGTTAAGCCAGACCAGAGCCTTCGGAAACATTCATCCACGGTTCATATTTCCAGACCTTTTACTCTTAGATCCTACCTTCTCACCCAACTCAGCACAGCCGCTGTATTGTAATTCACTGGCATGTAATTCAAAGACAACCTCCCTTCTGAGACGCCCTGTATAAGCCAGAAGCAGGATTTCCTGCCCTGTGTCAGGCATGCGATGTGGACAGCTGAAAGCATCAAGCCACTTCATGCAGACACAGTTCGGTCAAGAGCTACGACAACGTATGGCAATAAGCCAATAGATGGGCCCCTGAGATGACACTCTTGAGATATATAAACCCAGTGGTGATTTTTGTGAAATATACTGATTAGCACAAGAAAAACAGCATGAATCCTAGCATGGCATACAAAGTCCTTCATCATATGGCTCACAGCAAAAAGCTGCTGCTTTGCCAGGAGATGTTGAGACACAGGCCGACTAGCACATACACAAAAATACTGGTTTTCAAACTAACGCATTATGTGATTTTTAAATACTTTACTCTAGCTAGGAGTCTCAGATATTTCCCGTGCAAGAGATGCAGGAGACAATTTTTAAGTTAGGAAAAGGTACACATCCGGTTAAAGTCTCAGCACCATTGCACAAACGACACATCTGGAGCACTCCGTAGCTGAAGCATATTAGTTCCTTTCATTTTCAATGCTTGAAGAACTCTTTTTTTACTTTTTCTTTTTTCTTCTCAGTTGCATGATAAAAACCCACAAAGTCTATGCCTGACATCTGTAAAGAAGTCTGAAGTATTTGGATACCAACCTTCCATTAATCATAATGAAAAATGGTGGAACTAAATTCAACCAAAAATCCCATACGGTAATCAAAAACTCATTTGCCTCTGACTGTTAATATAATGTTTCTCCTATTACTGGATGTCATATATGATATTAACCATGAATCTAAAAATGAAACAAGTCCCATGACAGTTCTGTCAGTGCTTCTCAGCATCGCAAAACGTTTCCCACATAAAACATGGTACCTGCTCTGAACATATCCTTTTTGCCATGTTCACAATCGTTAATTAGATTGGACTTTTACAGGAAAGAGAATTTTCACCTGTGCTAGTCTTGACAAGCTCTCTGATATTAACTTATTGATAACAGTTCTGCTAGCTTACATTTTCTGACTGATTTAGCTTTTCTTCCAAGATCCTCAAGAGCTCATCTTCAGGGTCATAACCCATAACTTGCACCTTGTTCCCACCCTCTTAAAAGCTGCTGCTTTTCCTTCCATGGAAAGTTTTCCATGGTTTTACATAAATAAAAGAGTTTAGTCTCAGAGTTAATCTCAATAGACGTAGTAAGGCACTGTTAAGAGCTTGATCCAGGATTAAAGGATTTGGCAACATACTAAAATTAATAGCAAGTGTAATATATATTTAGATAAGTACAAGGTCATCTAAAGGTTAAAAAAAAATCTCTGCACACCTTAACCAAGGGAGGAAAGCACAGGCTGCTGTTGTAGACAAACATTTCTGCAACAGCTACTATTTTATCTTTGTTTTAATCTTATGTCAGACTCTGCGAAAACTGGAAGACGTACAAAAGGGAATTCAAGCAAATGAGAAAGCAGCAGCAACATAAATGGCACAGGAAACATCATTTGTTTGAGATACTTTGATTCCTTCTTGGTTTAAACACAAGCTAGAGTGTGGGTTAAATTTCATTCAAAGAATTCATCTCTCCCAGTTTTAAACCATGATGGGCTAGCAAATCCTAACACTGAAACATCACATTTTCATTGCTAGTTCGGCTTTCAGGAGCAGGCTTTTCACCTATGCTGCTTGCCAGGGAACTGTATTAGCAGCCAGGGCACTGAAAACAGAGCAGCACCTCCCTAGTACAGGCAAGGAAGGCAAACGACACACTCCGATCCGCACGCGTTAGCATTGCATTCATTTCTCGCTCTTAGACAAGAAAGCATGAGCTCTGTCTGTCTCTCTTTCTCTCTCTCCCCCCTTCTCTTCCCCAACACAGTTTCCCCCCACCCCTTTCTTCCGTTTATGCCACAAATAAATCCATCGGAACCCTCCTTCCAGGAACCTGAATGAAAGAGGAGGAGGATCCTTCACACTGTGTCAGAGACTTCAGGACCTGACAATCTACTTAATTCTCCCCTCTGCTTTCTGGCAGTGTCAAAAGCACTCTAATCATTTACTGAACGCAGTTGTCCTCCATCATGCACGTGTCCAACACCAAACCACAACAGCGAGCCCTTCGCACTCGTACAGATCAGGATGCTGACGGTACTGATAACGGCTGCAAGTGAAAAGCAGTCTCCAACGCTCTGGCCTTCGATATAGAGGAGAATTAGAGCAGAAGTTAGGAGGAGCCTTCCTATGAAGCATGATATTCCGGGCACAAATTTTCATGAAAAAAACAATGCCACGATAAATCCATGAACTAACGACCAACTGCAGTTCTTTTGTTGCATCTCAAGACCTATATATCAAAAGCCTGTGCTTCTTTCTGGACCTGCTTTGCTTTGCTTAAGAACGGATAATTTACATGCACAATCCCACATGGACATTCTCTTTCTGAATGAAAGGAATTACAAGAGTTTCGTGGCTAAGATGTTCAGCTCTCCTTTACCAGAGTTTAGGATCTCCTATGTCTACCCAAAATTTCCAAAACATCTTTTGAAAACATAACTTCAAGTACATAACAGTTCTACTTTCTGCCCCAACTCTGATAATAAGGATATAGTTCTTAACACACTAGCCTAAGCACTTCCACTTTTCGTTACCTGACCATGCAGAAAACTCAGACAGTGGCAGAGAAATTCAGACATGCAGCCTAAAATGTCCCTCATCAATGTAGCGTGCTCTTTGGGCAAGACAGGGTTCAGCCTTGCGTGAACACAAACAGGGAGGAGGACGCTAACAATCCTTTTCCTCTTCTAACCAGTGCCCCTCTAAAATAGGTGAGGAACTTGACTGGTGTGCCAGCTGTAGTTCGGGAAACTGGTGAGGCTGGTCAAAGGCTGTCTTCTTTTAACGTTCACACCTCCCAGAGCGGCTGAGCTACCAGGCACCTGCATGCCGAACATTACCACCAAAGGTCGCACGCGCTCCTACAGTGGGGTGCGAGAAATCTCTGCTGCTCAGCTAGACAAATGCATCCACTCCTGCTGTGCTCAGTGGCTTGAGATGACAAGGGAAATGCCACCTCACATGTAGGGGTGCCCACACC